GAGTTTGACTGGCCTATAATTATCGGTTTTATCGTTCTGCCGCATTATGTACAGTGGACTAACACTTACATCACTTCCGACATCTGGCAGCACACTGGTGTCCAAAGAGCTTTAAGAGATTTTTCCCGGAGCCTCCGATATTTCACCACTTATTTCCTTCAGTAAACTAGGATTCATCCCGTCCGGTCCGGGTTTCCTATCTACCCTGAGCACCGATTGATTTGTAGTAATTTCTCTCGGTAATTCTTGACCAAAACAATTTCTCTGCTCTCTTATTCGATACTGTGGCATTGGCTGCATCCTCATCTTCTGTGACCACGAGAGAAACATCTGTCTATTCCTTTGAAGGGTTTGTCCCCAATGACAGTTGCATTGAAACTCTTCTCGGTGTCCCACTGAGCATCCGTTTGCCATTGGCTCCTCTCCACAGAGTTGTCCTCTCCCTGACCGGACATGTGTGATAATGCCACACATTCATGTGAATTCTGCACTGCCCGTCCCCTCTTCCTACCACATGCACAGATACTCTCTCTGAGCGCTCTGTGGCTGTGGGATGACAACCTCCTGAAACGTTAGGTCCATGAACACACAGAGTCACTCATTCCTTTACTGTCTCTCACCCACATTCACTCTGCCTCTCTACAATGGAGAGAGTGAGAGAGAGAGAAAGAGAGAGTATGAGAGTACACACAGAGAGAGTTAGATAATGAATGTGAGAGACAGAGAGAGAGTGTAAAATTCTGAGAGAAAGTGTTAGAGAGAGAGAGAGAGAAACAACATGACGTGGTGTAAAAGTCTTTCATGTCGGCTGGACGTCCAAGGCCGCAAAACAGACAGAGATTCCGAGTTAGTTCGCAGTTTCTCATCAACAAACAAACAAACAAACTGCGTTTATTTCTCCTCCTTCACGGAGGGTTGGGGTTCGGAGCTTCTCCTCAGTGTTGGCTTATAATTGACCAATCCATTTTCAATCATTTTCGTGTGCTTTTGTCAGTAAACAGTTTCGCACTGAATCCCATGACATTAATTGTGTTGCTCAGTCCCTGGGTCTGGTTATCACCATCTAACGCCAGAGAGCGGTCAGACACAGACAGTAATTCATTGCTTCTGCATCTCTCCAGGTGGCTGTTGTGGACTTGAGGGAAATAATCATTTGCTGTGATTTCGTCTGGGTTCAAATTACAAATAAAGAGGGTGGTGTTGTAGTGTGTAACTGCTCACAATGTTCTGAGTAATTATACTATTTATAATAATTCGGCATTTGACATTGCGCTGTTCACGTCTTGCAGACGCCTCAAAGCGCTTGTTTAGTCAACTCCCTTCTCCTCCTAGAGGGGAGGTGACCAGAGTCTTCCTGGAGTTGATCTGGAGCTCGGCAACAAATGTGGAATGGAACCATTCCTGAGTGATAGTCACTCGGGTGGACACTGTGATCACTGCCTGTCCCGGGCTGTGTGTGTGCGTGTGTTTGTGTGTGTGTGTGTGCGTGTGCGTGTGCCTGTCTGTGTGTGTCTTTCTGTGCCTGTGTGTGTGTGTGTGTGTGTGTGTCAGTGTGTGTATCACTGTGCCTGTGTTTGTGTGTGTATCGTGTGTTTCTGTGTGTGTCTGTTTTTTCTGTGTGTGGTTGTGTCTGCGTTTCTGTGTCTGTGTGCCTGTGCCTGTGTCTGTGTCTGTCATCTGTCTGTCTCTGTATTTGCCTGTGTTTATGCTCGTGTGTATCGCTGTCTTTGTGTGCGTGTTTGTGCCTTTGTGTGTGTGTGCGTACCTCCCTCTGTGTGTGTATGTGTGTGTGGTTGTGTGTGGTTGTGTGCGGTTGTGTGTCTAACCCCCTGAGCTACAGGACAATTCACAAAGTCACGTTGCATTGAATCCTGCAAAAACTCTGTCACGACACTATCCTGTGAAGCGCATTGAGACGTCTCAAAGTCGTGATAATGCGCTGGGATCAAGACAATTACTATTATTATTGTTGTTACAAAAAGACTTTTTAATCGCCCAAAAAAACACGTCTCCCTTTTAAGAAGAGGACGGACTCACTTTAAATCAAAATACTGTCTGCAGTTCTAAATAATTTCTTTTGATGCATTCTTTTGATAGTGATTCATATTCTAATGATGAAGATTTTTATTGTGCAAATAGAAATGAAATTATTGGCAAAATAAGTTTGTTTGATTCCAAATCCTTCTTTTCTTTCTTTGGAAATAAGAGATTTACTACAACACTCGTGATAGAAATAAGGTAATACCTGTCTAAGGCTGCCTCAATGTGTTAATCACAACTTACGGTTGATTAAGTTTGCAAAAGACTTTGTTGAATTATGTTGCATTCCTTCAAGCGTGTGAGTCTGTCACAAGAATAACACTCTTTTAACATACTGCATTTATATTCTTATATTTATATAATATTAAAGTTATTAAAATTTTATACTGTGTGTGTACAGGAGAGACACCGGGAGAGGCTGTGTGTATGTGGGAGATATTGGAAGAGGCTGTTTGTACAGGAGAAAGATTGGGAGAGCTGTGTGTATACAGGCAGGACACTGGCAGTGGCTGTGTATATACAGGGGAGTCAGTGGAAGAGGTTGGTTTATGCAGTGGAAGAGACGGGAAGAGGCTACGTGTACAGGAGAAACACTGGGAGAGGCTGTGTGTATACAAGAGAGACAGCGGGAGAGGTAGGTGTGATGGTGTGTAGTTTCTCCATTACATTGTGTGTAAAAGAGAAACGCTGGGAGAGGTTGTGTGTATACAACTGGAGGCACTGGAAGTGGCTGTTTATACAGAAGAGACCTACTGTGTGTTGGTCTGTGTGTATAAAGGAGAAACACTGGGAGTGGTTGGGTGTATCAATGCCAAATAATGATCCATCAAGAAAAAAAAATGGTAAATTGATTGCTCAATCCATGACTGTTTGTGGGTCGCTGCTGTGCGAAATTGGCTGCCGCGTTTCATCCACATATGTAATAATAATAATAATAATAATAATAATCCTTGCATTTGATATAGCGCTTTTCACGTCGGGAGGACATCCCAAAGCGCTTCACAGAATAGACTGTAAAGTGAGTTGACTGTATATTTGTGGGCAAACGCGGCAGCCAATTGCGCACAGCAATGTCCCACAAACAGTCGTAGATTGAAAATGACCAATTTATTATTGTTTTTTTTGTTTTGGAGGGATTATTATTAGGCGTGTGGAGAAAGGAAACTTGCCCAAGGTTTCGCCCTGCCTGGAATTGAACTCAGGTCTCTCACTTGCAAAGCGAGTGCTCTAACCACTGAGCTACAGGACTCCACAACAGTCAAATCACTTGACAGCATATTCTGTAAAGCGCTTTGAGACGTCTAGAAGATGTGATAAGGCACTGGATCAAATGCAAGATTTACTATTATTTTTATTATTATTGTTACAGAGTGACATCCTTCACTTGCCCCGTCCAAAACCCTGCAGCACCACTTTACTGCCACGAGATGGCGGTGCAGCACTGTGTAACTGCCCACAGTATTCTCAGGACACCTCATAATAATGGTAATAATCTTGTCATTCGATATTGGGCAGTTCACGTCTTACAAACGCCTAAAAGCGCGTGTTTAGTAAAAAATATCCCTTCTACTCCTTCAAGGTGAGGTGAACAGGGTCTTCCTCGAGCTGATCTGGAGGTTGGCAACCAATGTGGGAATCAAGCCAATCTTGTGTGATGGACACTTGGGTGGACACTGCGATCTCTGCCTGTCCCGGGCTGTGTGTCTGTGTATGTCTGTGCGTCTCTCTGTGCCTGTTTGTCTGTGTGTCTGTGTGTTTGTGTTTCTGTGTATGCGTGTCTCTGACGGGATGTGTATCGGGGTGTGTCTTTGTGTGTGCCTGTGTGCGCGTGTCTCAATCTGTGTGTGTGTCTTGGTGTGTCTGTGCATAGCGAGCAAACTTGCACAATGTTTCGCCCTCAATCGGGGATTGACACCCTGTCTCTGTCTTGAGCCACAAGGGCTCTAACCACTGAGCTACAGGACCTGTTACAGAGACAGTTTACGGTATATACTGTGAAGCGCTTTGAGACGTTCCGAAGACGTGATAACACACTGGATCAAACACAAGGATTACTATTATTATTATAAAAAGGGCTTTAACCCCNAAAAACCTCCTCTCCCTTTCAAGGCAGTGACGGCCTCGCTTTAAATCTCAAATATGGTCAACAGATCAAAATCCTGCACTGGCCACGTGAACGAACCCAGCACCGCCCCCCCCCGAACTCAGCCCCGCCCCAAACCCAGACACGCCCCCAGTTCCGGACCCGCCCCCAAACCCGGCTCCGCCCCTATTTGTCTCCTGTTTGTAGCAAAGCCTCCAGCGGCTGATTAATAGACAGTGAGTGAGTGAGAGAGACGGAAAGTGAGAGTGAGTGTGAGAGAGAGGGAGACAGTTAATGCAAAAAGCGATTTATATACTTGGGATTAGAGCAGAATTGGGAATATTTTGCACCGATGCACTTTAAACCCCGAGGATCTGGGGGAATTTACACCCGTTTCCCGTGTTAATCCCCGGCTGTGGGATTAAAATCAAAACCCAAAATTAATGCAAAACCGTATTTATTTCATTTTGATTAATGCAAACATTGGGGTTTATTAAACTATTGCACTTGGAACACCGCGTATATGGGGGATTTAAAAACGTTTCCCGTGTTGTACACAGAGAGCGCGTTATTATTTCAACAGAAAGCCAATGATAAACCCCATGGGTATCATTGGGATTAAAGCAGATGTAGAAAGCCTGGGATGGGCTTTGAGACGTCTGTCAGAAGTGATAAGGAGCTGTGTGCAATGTGGGGATTATTATTGTCGAGATCAGGAGCTGAAAGCTCCAGCCTGATGTTCATTATGTCACAGTTGACTTACTTTAGACTTTTCTCTGCGCAAATTAACTCTACATTCGCTCACAAACACAACCGTCGCTTCACAGTCGATCCCGAGAAAGTATTGAGCCGCGGTCCCAGTGTGAAAGCTGTAATATAAACCACAAGCTTTATTGAAAAGCGACATAGTTTATAAAAGGTTGAGCCTCGTGGCCATCACAAACAAACACAGGTCATGGCTGAGGGTTTCCTCCTCATTAATCTGTCACCCGACAGATCCTCAGAGGATCTGAGTTTTTGCCGCCATAATTCAAGTCTGGACTAAAGTAAGGATAAAGTTTCTCGGTGAAAGTCTGGGTAAAAGTGTGGAGATGAGACATGTTATCAGCGTTGTAAAATGTCACCTGTCCTCCCTCATAATCCAGGAACACTCCCAGCTTCCCGGGTCTCTCTCTCAGGGGCAGGCGGGTGGGAGGTGATGTACCAGCTTTATATACATCCCCGTTTCTCAGATACACAGCCCAGAGTCCATCCTCTGGTGACAGTGTAATCTTTCCTTTCCTGTTGACAGACTCTCGGGCCAATGCCACATCCCAGTCTGTCTTGTTGGCCACCTGCACCTCCCAGTAATGTCTCCCTGATGTGAAGCCCTCAGACCCCAGAACACAGACACAGGGATCAAACCTCTTCGGGGAGTCCGGGAGCTGCTGCCGTGTGTCTCCGTGTCTCACGCTGGTCAGGTCCTCAGACAGGATGAGGTTGGGATGAGCTGTGTCAGGATTCAGAGTCAGAGAGGCCGGAGCTGAGAGAGAGAAACAACACAAAGTGGAGTGAGGGGACGTCTGAAGCTCAGACTGTGTGTGAACACATCTACACCCGGAGACACAATCCAGCTCAGAGGGTCAAATGCTGTGTATGTGTATGTGAATCGGTGGGGTGTGTGTTTGTGTGTGTGTGAGGAGGTGTATGAGTGTCTGTGGGGCTGTTTTGTGATGATCTGTGAGTGACTGTGAGGGTGTATGCGAATGTGTGTGTTTGAGGTTTGTGTGTGAAGGTTTGTGTGAGGGTGAGTTTGTGTGTGTGAGAGGGTGTTTTTATGTGTGTGAGAGTGTGTGAGGCTGAGTGTGAGGGTGTGTGTGTGAGCGCCTGTTTGTGTATGTGAGTTTGTGAGGTGATGTGTGAATGTGTGTGTTAGGGGATGTGTGAATGTGTATGTGAGGCTATGTGTGAGGGTGTGTGTGTGAGCGCCTGTTTGTGTATGTGAGTTTGTGAGGGGATGTGTGAGTGTTTGTTAGGGGATGTGTGAATGTGTGTGTGAGGGTGTGTGAGGCTGTGTGTGAGGGTGTGTGTGTGAGCGCCTGTTTGTGGATGTGAGTTTGTGAGGGGATGTGTGAGTGTGTGTGTTTGGGTATGTGTGAATGTCTGCGTAAGGGTGTGTGTTTGAGTGTGTGTGTGAGGGTGAGTGCGAGTGTGTGTGAGGGTGTGTGTGAAACAGTTGGGTGTTCGGGGGTGTTTGAGGTTGTGTGCGATGATCTAAGTGAGTGATTGTGTGAGTGGAGGTGTGAGAGTGTGTGTGAGGGTCAGTCTGAGGGTGTGTATGAGGATTTATGAGAGGGGTTGTATGAGAGGTGTTGGATGATGGTGTGTGTGAATGTCTGTGTCAGCGGGTGTTTGAGGGTGTGTGTGAAGGTCTTTTTGAGGGTGTGTGTGAGGGATTGTATGAAGGGGTGTGTGACGGTGTGTGTGAGGGGTGTGTGAGAGGGTCTGCGTGAGGGTGTGTGAGGGTGTGTGTGATGTTGTGTGTGAGAGCCCATGTGAGTGGTTGTGTGTATGAGGATATTTGTGAGGTTGTTTGTGAGTGGATGTATTAGATTGTGTGTGAGGGTTTGTTTGAGGGTCGGTGTGAGGGGATGCGTTGTGTGGTTTGTGATAGTATGTGTGAGGGAGTGTGTGAGGGGGAGTGTCAGGGTGTTACTGAGGTTGTGTGAGGGAAATGTGTGAGGGTTGTGTGTGAGGTATTCTGTGTGGGGTTGTGCTTGAGAGTGTGTGCGATGGTGTTGTGTTAAAGGGTTGTGTGTATGTGAGGGGATGTAAAACGACTTGTTTGATGGAACGTGTGATGTTGTGTGATGGGGTCTGTGAGGGTGTTTGTGATCATGTATGCGAAGGTCAGTATGAGGGGTTGTGAGAGGGATTGTGAGAGGGGATGTGCGTGATCATGTGTGTGTGAGTGGGTGTGTGAGTTTGTTTGTGAGGTTGCGTGTGAGTTTGTGTGTGTGCGTATGTGTGTGTGCGAGTGACGGTGTGTGAGGTTGTGTGTGAAGGGTTTATGCGATGGCATATGTAAGAGTGTGTGTGTGATGGGGTGTGAGTGTGTGAGGGGGTGTGTGAGAGCTGTTGTGTGAGGGTCTCTTTGAGTGTATTTGAGGGGATTTGTGAGTGTGTGTTTGAGGTTTTGTGTGAGGGACTCTGTGAGGGTTATTTGTAAAAGTGTACATGTTAGGGTCTGTGTCAATGTGGGTGTGCAGGTGTGCGATTGGATTTGTCAGGGTCTGTGTGGGTGTGTGTGAGGGGTTGTGTGAGGGTGTGTGTGAGGTTGTGTGTGAGCTCGTGTGTAAGGTGCTGTGTGAGGATATGATTGTGGGTGTGTGTGGTAATGTGTTTGTGATGGTTGTGTGTGAGTGTGTGTGTGAATGCGTTTTTATCATAGTCTGTGTGAGGTCGTGCGTGAGGGTGTGTGTGTGAGGGTCTGTCTCAAGTTGTGTCTGGGGTTGTCCGTGAAGGGGTGTTAGAGGTGTTGTGTGAGTGTGTGTGTGTCAGGGTCTGTGTGAGGGTGTGTGCGAGTATGTGTGAGGGTCTGTGTGAGGGTCTGTGTGAGAGGGTGTGTGAGCGGGTGTGTGAGGGTGTGTGTGAGGGTCTGTGTGAGGGGTGAGAGTATTGACATTATTGCCCTGACTGAAACCTGGATCACACCAGGTGACACCTTCCTCCTCACTGAGGCCAAACCACCCGCTCGACCTTCCACCATGTTCCCCGCCCGAACCGTCATCGTGGTGGGGTGACCCTCATCTCCAGGGCGTTACTTGCTCCACCGGCTCATTCCCCTCTTTCCAACACCTTACCCTCTGCCATCCCTCCCACCACTCTATAAAAATCCTAATTTACTGTCCCCAAAACAGTCCCCAACTTCCATCTCTGACATCTCCACCTCCTCGCCTCCCTCTGTCTCTGCTCCGACCACTTCATCATCCTCGGCCACTTCAACCTCCACTTCACCCCACCATACTCCACCTTCTCACACTTCTCCTCTCTTCTCCTGTGTGAGGGGAGTGTTGGTGAGGGCATATGTGTGAGGGCTGTGAATGTGTGTGGAAGTGATGGGTGTGTGCGGTGTGTGTGAGAACGGTGTGTTTGAAGATTTTTGTGAGTTAATTTTGTGTAAGAGCTGTGCACGTGAGGAAAGTGTGAGTGAAAGTTCTGTGTGTGAGGAGTGTGTGTGTCACAGGTGTGTTTTTTGAGAGGTTTGTGCATGAATGGTGTGTATGTGAGGGGTGTGTGAATTGTGTATGTGTGATTTGTGTGAGCTGTGTGTGTGTGTAAGACGTGTGTGTGAGAGGTGTTTGTGCTTTGGGAAGTCCTGCTGACGTGAAAGGCGCTCTATAAGTATAATTCTGTTGTTTTTCTTGTGGTGCGGTGTGCGTGTGTGAAGGGTGTCTGTGGGAGGTGTTTGTGCGAGAATTGTGTGTGGGGGATGTGTGTTTGAGGGTTATGTGTGTAGTAACTGTATGTCAGATTTCTCTGTGTGAAAGGTGTGTATGGGAGGTGTTTGTACGTGGGTAGTGTGTGAGGTGTATGTAAGGTGTGTGTCATAAATGTGTCTGTGAGTTGCCTATCAGAGGTGCATGTAAGAGGTTGCTGTGAAAGGCGTGTATGTGTTTGTGTCAAAATGGTGTGCAAGTGAGGTGTGCGTGAGTGCTGTGTGTTTGAGGAGTATCCATGTGAGGGCTGTATGTTTGAGGTGTGTGTGAGAACTGTGTGTGAGTGTGTGAGGGTGTGCGTGTGAGCGAGGGTGAGTGAGGTTATGTGTGTGGGTGAAAATGTGTGTGTGCATGACGATATGTGTCTGAGGTGTGTGTGTGTGTGTTTGAGGAGTGTGTGAGGTGTGTGTGAGACTGTGTGGGTAAGCGTGGGTGTGTATGTGAGAGTTTGTGTCTGAGGAGTGTGTATGCTTGTGTGTGTGTGTGTGAGGTTATGTGTATTTGTGTGGGTGTGTGCGTTTGAGTGTGTTTGATGGTTGCGTGTGTGAGGGATGTGTGTATGTGTGTTTGTCTGAGGGGTGTGTGTATGTTTGAGGAGTGTGTGAGGAGTGTTTGTGAGTGGTGGGGTGTGAGGTGTGTGTGTGTGTGTGTGTGTGAGGGTATGTATATTTGTGTGTGTGTGTGTTAGAGAGGGAGGAGGGCGAATGTATTGGGATTCAGGTGAAAGTAAGTCTATTGAAACGACTTCAGTGTGCGAATGGAAGACATGTACCTGGGCTGATGTTGTCTATAATCTGTCTCCAGACGGTGTTCTTCAACGGCCATTTGTACTTGGTCACCGGCAGCTCAGCCTCACACACTGACAGATCAAAGCACTCGTCACTGACCCTGAAATAAGACACGATCACAGTATAAAGTGAAACTGCACCTTGTGGTTGGTTTATGGGTTGAATTGTGGGATATTTGCTAAAGATCATTTCATACCTTCTGTTGGCAGCAGCTTCCTCCTAATGAAATCAAACACAGACAGATGTCAGTTCATATCGAGACACCAACACAGACAAGTTAAATGTGCGCAGAGTATCTCACGTTCCAATACAATCTCTGATCTCTTTATCAAACACAATTAGTTTGTCTGCTCCCGACTGTGTATAACCGTTACTGAACTATATCATAATGTCATCTCTTTACCTGCAGGAAGGTGAGATCGTCTTTTCCCAGCTGTGCCGTTAACTCGGAGAGTTGTTGTTCAACAGAATCTAATTTGCACTGAATCTCTCGCAGATTTGTCTCCATTCTCTTTAGAATCTCCTCCTCTCGCTGTCTGAGATCCCCCATCACTCGCTGCTCTCTGTCAGTCAGACTCTGGTGCATTTTAGCAAACTCACCCGTGACGTGGGTCTGCAGACTGTTCACCTGTTCCTGCAAATGTCACACATTCAAACATTACACACAGTAACCAGAGACCCTGAGACATCACACCGTGTACACACAGTAACAAGAGACACTGAGACATCACACCGTGTACACACAGTAACCACAGACACTGAGACACCACACCGTTTACACACAGTAAGCAGAGACACTGAGACATCACACCGTTCACACACAGTAACCAGAGACACTGAATCATCACACAGTGTACACACAGTAATCAGAGGCCCTGAGATATCACACCGTGTACACACAGTAACCACAGACACTGAGACATCACAACGTGTACACACAGTAAACAGAGACCCTGAGACATCACATCGCATACACACAGTAACCAGAGACACTGAGACATCACACCGTGAACACACAGTAACCAGAGGGACTGAGACATCACACCGTGTACACACAGTAACCAGAGACACTGAGACATAAATACGGAAATCTCACCTTCAGTTGAGAAATCTTTTCTTTCTGTTTGGCTTCTGCTTCTATAGCTGTTTCCTTTCTCTGTGTGAGAGAAGCTAAGGAGGATTTCAATTTATCCTGTAATAAATACACAGAATTAACGTGTTTGAAGGCGAAAATATCAGGTGGATCAGATATAATCCTTCTTGAGGGGTATTCTTACCTTAAAGATGTCAGCAGCTTCCTCAATGGGTAGGAAGCTGTGGCCTCTGTGTTCCTGCCCATGACTGCAAACTACACACAGCAGTTTCTTGTCAGATTCACAGAACAGCTTCAGTTCCTCCCGGTGTTTCTCACAGTGAAGTTTATTTTCCGTCTGTGTCGGGGTCAGGCCCAATTTTCGTGCTTTCTCTGCTAGACTCGCCAAGGCCCAACTGGCTCTGAGGTTCTTTTCTGGAAATGTCTCCTGACAAACAGCACAGCAGTTGATCTCCTGCTTTTCCCAGCTCCGGGTGACACAGGAGCGACAGAAGTTGTGGCCACAGCCCAGGCTAACAGGATCAGTGAAGAAATCCAGACAAACCGGGCAAATGATCTCTTCGGTCCAGATCTCAGCCTGGAGTCCAGAAGCCATTTTGTACCTCAGCACTTCCTGATTGAAACTGGTTTCGGTTTCGGTGTGAGAGTGTAGGCGGATCCCAGTCACTGAGCTGACAAACCCTCTCCTACAGTCACTTCTTGTGAAATCAGATGATTGTGACTTTGATCCCAAGAGCAGATGAGAGAGCCTTATACATTGACAAGGACACCCGAGCAAGGAAGGCTTTGGAACATGTGGAGAGGTGGTGTGCATGTTGGGTGGGGCGGGGGATGGGGGGAATGGGTGGGAGTATGACAAAAACCGCCATCAATTGGATTAGTTTGAGGCTCTGAGACAGACCTAATATCTCTGAGATGGTTTTCCGGAGTGCGGGGTGTACAATGGCTGAAACCTCACACAGTGAGGCGGATATTGGGTTGAGTTGGGGGTGATATGAAGCTGCCGGCGTTTTTTGAGTGAATGCAGTGGCCGGGTCAGTTGTGTTGAAGGATGTGGCGGACGAATGGCCGTGTAAGGCAATGAGGGCTTTTGAAATTGAACGCATGGTCGACGACAAAGACCTTCAGACGGGACTTGAAGGATGTGAGCCAGAGGAAACGCAGGTAGAGTTGGAGAGTGTGGGGACAGCGATGCTGAATGTCTGACCTCCAAAGGTGGGGCAGGAATTGCAGGTGAACTAAAGCAGGCCGGTGTCTGCCGAGTGGAGGGAGCAGACTTTCTGATGTGCTTTTATGAAGTCGAAGAAGTAGGGGGGAATAAGACCATGGAGGTGTCTTGAATGAAGGACAAACCTGTTCTTTGAGCAACTGGGCTGGTCTCTATGTAACTGGCCTTATCTCTGTATTATTGCCTGGTCTTTATATAACTCACCATGGGTCTGCAATAACAGGCTTGATCTCTGCATAATGGACCTGGTTTGTTTATAACAGGTCTGTTCTCTGTATAACAGGTCTGGTCTCTGTATAACAGGCCTGGTTCTCTTTATAACAGCTTGGATTCTGTATAACTGACCAGGGCTCTTTATAACAGTTCTGGTCTCTGTAGGAAATCTTTGCACAGTGTACAACTGGCTTCATGTCTGTGCAACATCACTGTTCTCTGTTTAAAAGCTCTGGTCTCTGCATAATAGACTTGGTCTCTGTAAAATTGGCCTAGTCTCTGCATACCAGGCCTGGTCTCTTTATAGTAGGCATAGCCTATGTATAACTGGCCTGATCTCTGTATAACAACCTCGTATATGTATATCGGCTTGGTTTTTGTAAATATGTGCTGGTCTCGTATAACAGGTCTGGTCTCTGTATAACCGGCCTGGCCTCAGTAAAACTGGCCTTGGCTCTACGTAACAAACCTGGTTTCTATAGAACAGCACTGGTCTCCTTTTAACAGGCCTCGTATTTGTATCACAGCTTGAAGTCTGTATAATGGGCCTGGTCTCTGTATAACAGATCTGGTCTCTGTTTAATAGGCCAGGTCTCGCTATAAACTTCTAACCAAGGGTCGTGGAGCAGAAACTTTGACTCACTTTTGTTTCTGCATTGATGCTGCCTCACCTGCTGAGTTTTCCCAGCTCTCTCTGTTTTTATTTCAGATTTCAGCATCTGCAGTATTTTGTGTTTTGCTCGCTATAACTTCTTGGTTTATATACAAGAGGCCTGATCTCTACGTAACAGCCGGTTCTCTGTATAACAAGTCTTATCTCTGCAAAGCTCCCTGGTCTCTGTATGAAATGACTGATTCCTGTATAAATTGTGTTGTTTCTGTGTAACTGGTCTGGTCTCTTTATAGCAATTCTGGACTCTGTACGGTCTCTGTATAACTAGACTCGTCTCTGTATAACAGCTGGTCTGT